TGTGTTTAAAAATAAGATGACATTTAAACCAACATTTGGGTGACTATCTAGACTGACAGAGAGCAGAAATAGAAGTCCCAAATGATGCTGTGATTTTTGCTCCTGGTGTCTTCACACCAATATGGTAAAGACAGTGTTGGGAATAAGATTGAGGAAAAATTACCGTATTTTTCACCCCATAGGACGCACCGGCCCATAGGACGCATCAAGTTTTTTGGGGGGGAAATAAAGAAAAAAAATTATTTCCCCCCCAGGCGCTTGTGGGGCCGGCAGCGGGGAGAAGCACTCTTCTCCCCTCCGCCCGCCTTTAGATCAGGTCTGGGGACAGCAGGAAGACGCGCTGCGTCTCACAGCTGTCCCCGCAGCTTGCGGGGCAGGCAGCGGGGAGAAGCGCTGTTCTCCCCGCCGCCCGCCTTCAGATCAGGTCCGGGGACAGCAGGAAGACGTGCTGCGTCTCCCAGCTGTCCCCAGAGCTTGCGGGGCTGGCAGCGGGGAGAAGCGCTGTTCTCCCCGCCGCCCGCCTTCAGATCAGGTCCGGGGACAGCAGGAAGACGTGCTGCGTCTCCCCAGCTGTCCCCAGAGCTTGCGGGGCTGGCAGCGGGGTCTCCCCGCCGTCAGCCTCCAAACCACTTCGGGAGACAGCGGGATGGCGGCGTTCCGCCTCCCTCTGTCCCCCGACCTTGTGGGGCTGGCGCTGGGGCTCTCCTGAAGCCTGGAGAGCGAGAGGGGTCGGTGCGCACCGACCCCCCTCGCTCTCCAGGCTTCAGCGAAAGCCTGCATTCGCCCCATAGGATGCACACACATTTCCCCTTCATTTTTGGAGGGGGAAAAGTGCGTCCTATAGGGCGAAAAATACGGTAAGCGTTGTTTCTCTCTCGGTTATTAATATTTTTATTTTAAGGTTTTTCTTTTCCCCGTTTGATGCACCTTCAAAGGTGTTGCTGCCTTAGCAATTGAAATAGAGGAAATATTTATAGGAGATATAAATACACTGCATAATGCAACAGGAAAAGGCTGGGGATAAAACCGTTAAGGAGGTAAAGGTGGGAAGTCAAACCATTAAGGGAAATATGTATTAAAGTCAGAGTTAAGGTACCACTGTATATAAATTACAGGAAAAGCCATTGCCATTATAATCGTCTTTTCTTTTAATGGGAGAATAATGATTCGGGCTTACTTTAGGAGGTTTCTGTAAAGCAGAGATTTCCATGCCAAGAAGTAGCAACAGCAGCAGCAGCAGCACTAACAACTAGGCGATGTTTCACAAGCAAATGATGGTTTGGCATGGGTTGTTGCTTACAGGTAGTCTGCATGCAAGGCCTAGTTGTTAGTGCTGCAATGGTACCCACCTGAGAGGTGCCAGAACCGAGTTCTGGCGAGTTTCAGCTGGGGGAAAAAGCCCTGATTATTGTTATGGCATAAGAGAGGGTGCCGCAAGGAGGGGAAATTAAAAACACAGTGGAAAGTGGGATGGGAAGTCAACAAAACAAAACAAAACAAAAAAATTATTATGTATTGGAATGTATAGGTGAAATTTTTGAAAAATAATAATAAAATATAACGGGGGGTGGGCAAGAATCATTAGTTATCCCCTATATTGTAGGTCTGGGAGGTGGAGGCTGAGATATTCTGGCTTCCCCAAAGGCAGCTAATCTTATTCATACCAGAGGTGAGATTCCTTTTGAGATAACGGTTTCCATTTTTAGCTCTGCTGACCTCCAGACTAGCCAGCGGTAACAAGTCACCCCATCTCATTCATCCTAGGAGAATATGCAAAGTTTTAGTTCCAGTACTTTAGGCTAAGCTATATTAGAGCAATTGCACAGACTTTCCCCCCCAATCATTTTTGCATGCATTCTCCCTCTATAATATACGTATGCTTTTTCAATGCATTTTCCTGCTAAAGTGCAAATTTTTGTATGCATTTTCTTTAGCCAAAACTGCATCGCCATAATCAGAGAAGCGTAGGAGTCAACTCCTAGGGACCAAGGTCCCTTTGCCCCACCCCATAAAATATTTGAGGGGGCTGCCCCCCGAAGTTGATGGGCATTGCCATTCAAATGGTGCAATCCGTTATGTGGGGCAGGGCTTACATGCCCTCCCCGAATTCAGGTTGGCACCCCTGGTGTGGATCAGCAGCCGTGTTCCGATGTACTTCGAAATTCTAATTAGGCCGCAGACTTTAAAGATACATTCCACATGTGTTTCTCCTCCATCCCTAATAAAGGGACCCCTGACCATTAGGTCCAGTCGTGACCGACTCTGGGGTTGCGGCGCTCATCTCGCTTTATTGGCCAAGGGAGCCGGCGTACAGCTTCCGGGTCATGTGGCCAGCATGACTAAGCCACTTCTGGCGAGCCAGAGCAGCGCACGGAAACACCGCTTACCTTCCTGCCGGAGCGGGACCTATTTATCTACTTGCACTTTGACGTGCTTTCGCACTGCTAGGTTGGCAGGAGCAGGGACCGAGCAATGGGAGCTCACCCCGTTGCGGGGATTCGAACCGCCGACCTTCTGATCAGCAAGTCCTAGGCTCTGTGGTTTAACCCACAGCGCCACCCGCGTCCCTCATCCCTAATAACACTGGTGCAAAATATTATTTGCTACACGCCAAGCACAGGGTCCTGGGAGGCAGAAACCACTGACCCAGCTCTGGTTCCAGGCTTGCAGCTTCTGTTCCAGCAACCCCGCCGTCCAAATAATAGCACAGCTCATCCCCTTGAGTTGGCCTTTTCTCACAAACAGCCCCACCCAGCTGCCTGTTTGCACTCCCCTTCAATAAAGCTTTTAATTGCTGGGACATAACGTTTAATTGCATTGCATTTAGATTGCTGGAGGGGAATTGGCAGTCCAGCCGAGCGGAGATCAGAGAGCGCTGTGGCTCGGCTAACCGCAGCGTTTGATTCAGTCCTCTCTGCTCCAGCCTGACCGCAAAGACTATATGTATATAGTGAAACGGCGCGATGTACGCCTGGGAGCAGATGTGTCCGAGTTCAGCGGATTGCACGTTTGAGTAAATAGACACAGGCTTGGGCTGCAGCCTGAATCCATGTCGTTTGACTTGGGTTAGCGAAATACTGTATTTTTTGCTGTAGAAGACTCACTTTTTCCCTCCTAAAAAGTAAGGGGAAATGTGTGTGTGTCTTATGGAGCGAATGCAGACTGCGCAGCTATCCCAGAAGCCAGAACAGCAAGAGGGATTGCTGCTTTCACTGCACAGTGATCCCGCTGGCTGTTCTGGCTTCTGGGATTCAGAATATTTTTTTTCTTGTTCTCCTCCTCCAAAAACTAGGTGCATCTTATGGTCTGGTGCATCTTATAGAGCAAAAAATACGGTACTTAATATACCTTCCAGCTCGGTGGGAACCCTGGGGCGGCTCGCGGTAAGGACGTTTGACAACGAAACAGTTTTAAAACGAAAGAAGCTGCCAGCAATAATAGCAAGGCCAAAGAGCAGCCAAAAAAAGCCAGCTCCCAAAAGCCAGGAGGAATAGACACACACATAGCTGATCGTAGGTCATAGAAGGGAACCCACAGGGTCATCTAGTCCAACCCCCTGCAATGCAGGAATCTTTTGCCCAATCCACAACCCCGAGATAAAGAGTCTCGTGCTCTACCAATAGCTGCATACAAGGAGATGCAAGATTCTTCTGATCTGTTTTATGCAATTTTCCAATGAGGCAGAGAATTTCCCGAGGCAGAGAATTCTAAAATCTGGATGCCTTAACCAAAAAGGTGCTGTTTTTCATCGCCTCTTTCTAAGCCTCTGAGAGGAGGCAGCGCCTGGAGCAGTCAGTGAGGAAACCATTCTCATAAGGTTCCCTGGGAAACGGGATCGATGGTTGAACCACTCTGGGAGTTGTTGTTATGTACTGAAGTTCTCTCCCTTGGCCAGCAGGGGGATACTGTAGATAGTTTTCACTCAGGTCCGCATATGCAAATAAGGAATTGAAAGCGACGTTCAGTGATTGGATAGTTACAGAAAGTTGTTACTGTTGCTTTGTAGTTGAGCTCTGTATAAGCAGGTTGGCTGAACTCTTCAGTTCACTTCTGTTCTGGCCTGTGAATAAACAAGAGCTGTTTGAAGAATCGCTGTGTCGTCTGATATGTTCACCCACAACTTACTCTCTCCTAACTACTCTCAGAACCCTTAGCAAACTATAGCTCCAAGTGGGGAGGAAGCCGTGACAGTTAAAAGTGTTGGCTATTTGCAGATTAGTTGCGCTGCAGAAAGCGTGCTGGGGAGACCACACATTCAAGAAACGCAAAATAACTTTTGCTAGGTTTATAATAACAAAAACTCCTTTTACACTAAATTACATTATATCAATAAGTGTGACCCATCCACCAGGGTACTGAGAGAAATACATGCTGCTCTTTATATACCATACCCAACAGCTTAATCGCCACAACTTAACAGCACCTTCTATACTGCTTCACAGCTGCAAAACCAGGTCACGTTATTTGCTCTGGCCTTTAAAGAAATACACGTCTTGTGGAACAAGAATGAACCTTCAGATTTAAAGAGACCATTCAACAAAAAGCGCTATGGTAGCTCGCACCTGTCGCTCTGCCTGAGTCTACCTCACAGGTGTGTTGTGAAGATGAAGGGCGAGGGAACAGCGTAGCCCCGCAAAGCTCTTAACAAACAAGGGTGGGATTTTTAAAAATTGCATTTATTGGTGTGCTTGTTTGCTTATGGTTGCGTTTATATCCCACTATTTTCTCAGAGGGTCTCAAGGTTCGCCGCTCCCCATTTAATCCCCGCAACAACCCTGTGAGGTAGCTTAGGCTGAGAGGCAGTGACTGGCCCAAGGTTGCCCAGTGAGGTTCACGGCCGAGTGTGGAATTCGAACCCTGGCCCTAGTCCGACACTCTGAATATGATTTGATCTTGAGGAGACGGGTGTGTTTGTGTAGAGGAGGAATGTTGCATTGGGAGAGGATTACTGCCTCATTGCCTCAGTTGGTTTTATGTTCTTGCCCTTCTCTCCCCGACAGCCGCCGCCGCTCACTTCAGCTTCTGCCAGAACCTTCTAGAACACACCGTGTCGGCCGAGAACCTCAATTACCGCCTGCAGAGGAACTCCGGCAGCAGCCTGACCTGGCACGATGGGCGAAGCCAGCGGTCAGCGGGAGGGAGGACCGTCAAACTCCTCCAGCAGCCAGGAACAGAAGGCTCCCAGGTATGATGGCGGGCAGGAAATCTGCAAATGTCTCCGGGATCCATCCCTTGGCAGGAACCAAAGACCCGCTGGTGCTTGTTCTCCCACATGCAGCGAAACCGACTGTGTGCCTGCGCTGACAAGGGTCCAGGGGCCACATGTGGCCCCCAGGCCTCTCTGCAGCACACATCACTGTGCGTGTTTCTGTCTGGGTAGGCAATGCTCTGGAAACCAGATGGCAACTCCCTGCTTTCTTGGCTGCAGGATACAGAGGGGTGTGGGCGCATGTGTGCAAGCTAGCCAATGGCAGAATTCACGACCGTTGCCCCGGAAAGACTCCCTGGAAAAGACCCTGATGTTGGGAAAGATGGAGGGCACAAGGAGAAGGGGACGACAGAGTCGGATACAACTAAATGACTAAACAACAACATATGTGTCACTAAAACCATCTATGCTAAAGACATTGCGCTCTCTGCTGACCTTCATTCCAAAGAAACTGAACCCTAAATAAGAGAACCTCTGGAATCTCTCACTGCTCAGAGATTGGGGTGGTCTGTAACACGCACCATCCCTCCTCCCAAGAATTTTGGGAACTGTAGTTTACTTCCTCCCGCACAGCTACCATTTCCAGGGCCCTTAAGAAACCAGGGTTCTTTGAGGAAACCCATATGCTTTAAGGGTGTGGCACAGATTCTTTGAAGCCGTTCTGGCACATCTGCAGCGGCCCAAAGGAAGCCAAGACCAGCCTCCTGCTTTTGGGATTACGGAGGTGGCCTTTCAGTCAGAATTAAGCCCCAGAAATACCTGCCAAAAACCAGCTCCTTTGTTCCTTTCCTTCTCGGAAACAGAGCTTTTCCTCCCTTTGAATCTCAGTTCTGTCTTTTGCGGGAGGGGCGCTGAAGCAGGGGAGTTGGGTGGGGGACGACGAGAGGCTTGAAATGCAGAACTGGCTGCCTTCAGCCTGGAAGGAAAATACAGGGGAAAAGAAAAAGAAAAAAGCTTCCTTTTAAACCAGCTGAAAAATTGCCTCCAGGTGCCAGTCTCTGCATCTGTTCCATTTATGGGTCACGTTTGAGGCAATGTATGCCAATTTGGGTTGTGGAGAAAGGGAGGGAGATGAGAGCGGCAAAATCCAGACCGTTTGCCAATTTGCAAGAAAGAGACTTAGCGTCAAGATTAATGCGCGGTTTGCTTTGGTCTGGGGGAAATTGCTAGTTGCCCTGGGTACCTATTACTCAGAAGTAAGGAGGGTTATTTGGATAAAAGTTGCTGTGGGCTCAGCGCCTTTTTTTCCAGCGAGGATGCCGTCACTCTTGGGCGCAGATTTTCTGGACCAATTTCCTCTTTTCTGTCCAGGAATTAAAGGCACGCATGTGCTCTGTGCTACACATTCGAAAGCCTGCTCTTCATGCTTGAAAACAGAAAAAGATCGGATTCGCTTAGAGACTCTGAAGGTGGGACCAAGCCAAGGGGGTTCTTTCCCTCCCCAAATATTCCCTGACTCAAACAAACAAACAAAAATGAGCAGAAACGGGCAAGGGGGCAGAAGAGGGTAACCAAAAGGGTCGTGGGGGATATACATATTGAACGCTCAAATTGCTATGCCGTGCTGATTCTTGCCTTTGGAGCACGTGCAGAGTGTTTGTGTGCCAGTGTCCATGTGTTTGTGTCACAAAGGATCATGGGCAGCAAGGAAGTTCAGAGCAGCCTTTTAAAAGGAGAGTGTTGTTAGAGGGGAAAGAGTTATCGTTGTTATTATTATTATTATTATTATTATTAATTGAATTTATTCCCCGGAGGTCTCAGGGCGGTTCACAGAAAAGATCAACATGAAAACCACAATATATATATATATATATATAATCAAAATAAAAACAACAACCCAATAACACACCCACTCCATACCTGTTGAGAATATTAAGATCCTAAGCGCAGTGGTGTCCAAACTTTTTTCAAAGAGGGCCAGATTTGATGAAGCAAAGGGCCAACCAAAGTTGTTAACCTTAGGATTGAAGTAGTTGAGCTTTTTTGGAGGTTGAAGGTTTTTTTACAGTTGAAGTTGTTAAGGCTTTTTTAGGATTTTACCCCAGGAAATAAACTGAATTCAACCCCGACCGGCGGGCTCGATAAGGCCCCGAGACAGACATTTGACATACCTGTCCTAAGGGGTAGTGTCAATAATAGAAGCACTTACATGATTGTTGCTGAGCTAACCTGACACTTGTTAAACTTGTACAGTGGTACCTCTGGTTACGTACTTAATTCGTTCCGGAGGTCTGTTCTTAACCTGAAACTGTTCTTAACCTGAAGCACCACTTTAGCTAATGGGGCCTCCTGCTTCTGCTGCGCCGCCGGAGCACAATTTCTGTTCTCATCCTGAAACAAAGTTCTTAAACCCGAGGTACTATTTCTGTGTTAGCGGAGTCTGTAACCTGAAGCATTTGTAACCTGAAGCGTCTGTAACCCGAGGTACCACATTCTGATTTTTAGGGAAATATAAATATCTATACCTGATATTAAGATCCTAAGGGTTAGCATCAATGATATCCCAATCCATGCAGAATGTTAAACGCTATATTGATGCATGGAATGATCCCAGACCTTTTTGTTCTCCCTTCCCGTACGGTATGATATATATGTCTATAGATATAGATATACTGTATTTTTCGCCCCATAGGACGCACTGCCCCATAGGACGCACCTAGGGTTTTTTTTGGGGGGGGGGAATAAAGAAAAAAAATTATTTCCCCCCCAGGCACGGGGCTGGCGCGGGGGAAGCCCGAGCTTCCCCCGACCCCAGCCCCCAGAACAGCCTGCTATCTGCAAGCCTAGGGAGCCGCCCCGGTCTCCCCAGGCTTGCGGAGAGCTGCGCAAAGCCCGGGCGCGCTGAAGAGCGCGCCCCAGGCTTCGGAATGTAGGCAGCTCTGCGCAACCTTTGGGAGCCCGAGCCCCGGAGTGTAGGCAGCTCCGCGCAACCCTCGGGAGCCCGGCGCGGCTTCGCGCCGGGCTCCCTAGGGTTGCGCAGAGCTTCCTGGAGCCTGGAGAGTGAGAGGGGTCGGTGTGCACCGACCCCTCTCGCTCTCCAGGCTTCAGCGAAAGCCTGTATTCGCCCCATAGGATGCACACACATTTCCCCTTCATTTTTGGAGGGGGAAAAGTGCGTCCTATAGGGCGAAAAATACGGTATTGCTGTTAAGCCACTTGGAGACCTTCAGACGACAAGCAGCTAATAAGCTGAAAAAGTGGTAATGATAAACAGCCCTAAATGTATGCTGAGGCCACTGTTCTCTAACTAAGCCCCATAAGGATGCAGAAGGAGCAGCCTGGGTTCTCTCCTGAGGCTGCGCTGAGCCCATAGCCTGTGTTATGGTGATAATCTGCTTACTGACGGATGTATTGCTTGAGTTAAGAATGCACGGGTGGAGAAGCAAGCCCTCCGGTAGGCCACATCCACACTGCACATTTAAAGCACAAGGCTCTCCCCCTCCAGGATGCTGACAGAGCTACAGTTCCCTCAACAAGTTCCCAGGAGAAGCAGTGTGCTTTAAATGTATGGATGGAGGTTCCTGGACATATTAGCACTAGTTTTCTTGGTGTTAGGTACCACCTGTAGGTATCTCCAAAATGCTGGAGAGGGTGCACCTCCACAGGCACATACCTCCACATGTGGTGGGAGTGCCCCAAAATCCTACTATTCTGGACAACAACCATACGAGAAATACGTAAAATAACCAAGCAAGTGTTAGAAACCACCCCAGAATTGGCCCTACTAAACATCTTCCAAGACAATAATGCCCACTTACACCACAAAGAACTCATAACCCACCTACTTTCAGCAGCCAGAGGCATCATAGCCAGACACTGGAGAGACCTGTCAGGAGTAAACACAGGCCAATGGTACCGAATAGTATGGCAAACAGCCCTACTAGAAAAATTAACCAATAAACTGAAACTGTCACGGGGACAAATAGAAGAAGACGCCTTCACCCAGGTATGGCTCCCCTTTATCACATACACAGCCCAACAGGACAATGACAAAAATCCACCAACAGCATACAAATCAGTATGGCTAACCTGATCCAAAACACCCACCCACCCCACTCACACACGAAAACAAAGACCACCACAGCCAACCACAAATGAAGAGCCACACCCTAGGCCAACCCCAACCTCTCTCACCACCAAAGGAACACAAGCGAACAGCAGAGAACCTGCACAAGTGATGCTGACACCAAACCCTACATATATTAAGTAAAATAGAAACATCCCCCTTTTCTTCCTAATGTATCAACAAATGAAACTGATTTGTAAAAACGTTACATGGGGAAAAAATATGAGAGAAAGACATTGCACACACTTTTGTAAATCAACAAAATCTTTAATTAACCCCCCCCCCACACACACACACACAAATGTATGGATGGAGTGGATGTGGCCGCAGACCAGATTAGTCTCAGAGGAGCACCAGCGCCCTAGAAGGCAAGCTACGGCATCTTCCTGCCTCCTTGACCAAGCTCCCCAAAATAGTTTCCACCTCAGAGTTTGCAAGATTGGCGTCTGATTGCCTTTGCAGAGGAAGAACGGGCAGATGCGTATTCCAGCCTTGTTGCAGTCTTGACAAGGCGACTGGCAAAGCCGCTGGCTCCCCGCAAGACTGCGCCGGGCCTGACAGAAGCCCTTGCGCAGATCTTTAGGAATTATTGGGTTGACCCCCTGGCCAATCAGCCCCGTGGTCAATCGGGCAGGGAATCGGCCTCAATCTCCACTTGCCTGGCTTTTGGCATCTCTGAGGGACAAGCCATTAAGCAGGGCAGCAGGTCTTGACATGCCTGTTGTGCTAATTGCGGCGGCTCCTTAATTGGGTGTGCTTAATTAGCCAATGTTCACACACGGGGAAGTTGGCTGTGGTGCAATGCATGTCAAGCGCCATCAACCTTCTGAGCGCTGCCTGGGCCCTGATACTTCCAATCTCTGCTTGGCTTCTGGTTTCTACGTCCACAGAGTCGCCCTGAGAGATCCGT